GCCTGGGAGTGCTTCTGGAGCTCTGCCAGGTTGGCCCTGGCCACTGCCTTTGTTGGAGACAAAGGAATGAGTGCATGAAAGTGTCTAAAGAAAAGTGAATCCGGATGGGTGTTCTCTGGAGAGTCTAAGGGATCTTGATAAACCGGAAGCTCCGTGAAGGCAGCAATTGTGTCAGCGTGCTTAGAAGGCAGCAGGTGCTCAAGAAACAGTCTTCAGATGAATGAAGGAAGGACTTAAAGGAAGAAGGATGAGAAGAAGGAAAAGAGAGAGGGGAAGAAGAAAGAAAGGAATGAACAAAGGAAGGGGGAATGAATTTGATAGGAAGGAGAGAGGAAAGGAAGGACGGGCAAACAGCAGTTTGTATTATCAGGAAGACAGCTGTATCTTGAGACAAAACCTGGTTGAAATTCTGGCTATACAAAGGTACTTCAAAAAGAATACAAAGGGCTGGACCCATATAGCCCAGTGGTTAAGGGAGCCAGATCCCAAATGGCCATCAGTAGTTCAAATCCCGACCACAATGGCATGAAAACCACACCAGGGGTGTGTGTGTGTGTGTGTGTGTGCATTTGCATGCGTGTGTGCAAGCGTGCACGTGTGTGCATGTGGGTGTGCATGTGTGCATGCTCAAAATCTCAACCAGGTGGAGAAACAGAGGGGAAGGGATTGCAGCATGACCATACCCATTGGAGGGTGCTTTCTCCTTCTCTCTCTTTTTTTTTGGAGAGGTTTTCGCTATAGGGCGCGTGCATTCGCCAGACAGACAGAAAGCGAGAAATCACCCCCCAGGGGGGATGGTCATGCCGCAATCCCTTCTCCTTTATTCACCTCTCAGGATTTGGGGCACGCATGCACACGCGCCCGGCATGCGTTTTAAGCCACTGGGTCCGGGACGCAAACTGCGGTCAACTACGTGGGAGTTCAGCGACATAGCCATTACGCTAACTGCTGGTTTCCCCTTCTCTCTTTGTCTCTCTCTGCCTAGCAAATGGGCCCTCTGGAAATTAAATAAATAAAAACAGCATCCCCGGGACCAGCAGTTAGCGTAATGGCTATGTCGCTGAACTCCCACGTAGTTGACCGCAGTTTGCGTCCCGGACCCAGTGGCTTAAAAACTCACACCGGGCGCGTGTGTGCGTGCGTGCCCAAGATCCCGAGAGGAGAATGGAGGAGAAGGGATTGTGGCATGACCATCCCCCCTGGGGGGTGATTTCTCGCTTTCTGTCTCTATGTCTCTCTCTGTCTGGCGAGCACATGTGCCCTATAGTGAAAACCTCTCCAAAAAAAAAAAAAAAAACAGCATCCCCAACAGCCTTGTTTGAATGCACCGTCCATCCCCATCCTCACCCAACCCCAAATCACAGGTGTGCATGTGCCTAGCACACTGAGAGGGGACCGCAGATGCTAGTGAGCCGGTGACCTTCCCATGTGGGCAAGTCTCTCAGAGAGCCGCCATCCAGCACCCTCAGCTGCAGATCTCTGTTGCTGTCCTCACCCCAACTTTCTGCAAGTGATGTCCTCTGATGCCACTGCTTTAGGATGGAGAGTGGGCTCAGCCCCACAGGGAGCACATTTCCCCAGCAAAGCAGAGCCACAGGAGCTCAACAGCAGCCCACCTGTCCATCCCACCACCCTCATGGGCACACCTGTCCCCTCCCACTCGGCCCAGTGTCAGATATGAGGGCAAGGCCACATCTGGAAGCAGGAGGGGCAGCCACCAGGTGACCTGAGGTGACCAGGAAAGTTTGAGTCAGAGAACCCCTTCCTTGGGAAGGAAGAGGCTCTGGGGAGAGCCCTGGGCTTCTGGAAAACAAGGTTGATTCCTGGGATGGAGCGGGAACCCTGTCGTGGGTCTTCTTTCCCTTCACAGGGCAATGGCCAGGGGTCTGGGGCTCGGCATGGGACTTCAGGGGAAAGAACTCTGTGGCAAGTGAGGAGGTGGATTCCTAACTTCTTGGGAACTGGGTCTGATGAGCCAAACTGGGATGGAGACACCCTCTCCTAGGTCCTTAGTGCTTCCTGTTCCCTGTCCTCACCTGGTCTGGGTCACCTGCCCCCCTCTCCGCCCCTAGTGGTTTGAGGGTTTGAGAGCATCATTGTGCCTGCTGGGGGTGAGGTGTTGCAAGCATCAGCCTGGCTCTGGTCGCCCTCGGAGAGTAAGCCTGAAAGCACAGGCGCTCAGCCGCTCAGCGCTTCCGAACCCCTGTTGGGGAGCAGAGCAGGGAGCAGAGCAGTGACAGTGACAGCTTTGTGTTCTGCCCTGTCAGGGCAGGGACAGGTTGAGCCCTGCTGGTTGCCCCACAGGACTGTGGGGCGGGGATCCCCTCCCAGGGAGTGGCAGCTCAAGCCCTGACAGGCCCCAGTGGGGGCGGTGCTAGATGGCAAGCTCCTTGCTAATGTGGGAGCACCTGAGGCTTGGGCCGGGCGGCCACTTCCTTCTCCCTGAGAGTTGCAGCCTCAGCACTGAGTTTGCAGGAGGCAGCTGAACCTGAGGGGGTGCCGAGGAGGGCACAGTTGGGGCTGGGCATTGAAGATGGTTCCAAGTGGGGCAGCTTTCAGATAGGGGAGGCGAACTGGTGACTTATGAGGCGGCCTCGCTCATCTCTGCCGTTAACCTCGCGTGTGCTGTGATCTTGTCTGTCCTGACCGGTCATGAGAATTCTCATCTCAGATGAGGAAGCTGAGGTTCAGAGAGGCGGTGGTGCAGCTCGTTCAAGTCCACCACAAAAGGATGGGGTTGGATTCTTATCCTGGGAGAGGAAGCTGTGTGCTCAGCCACTGGTTTCTACCCTTTACACAACCAAGAAGCATGAGGGCCCAGAGAGCAAATATGGTGGCGACCAAAGATGAGGCCATTGTTTGCGTTCTTTGCCAGACTCTGATCAGAGCTGCCTGTGAGACTGGAAGGCAGGATGAGAGCTGACCGTCTGTGGGTGCCCTCTGCTACAGAGGGAGGCCTTGCCCCAAAGAAGCTCCTGGCTTCCAGGACCTGGCAGCCATTGGCTGATTTAAAAGCACACACAGGGTGTGCCAGCTGGTGTCAAAATGTATTGATGCTGCAGCTGAGCTGCTGCTCAGCCCCTGGGGAGGAGGCGGCAACAGCAGCAGCAGCAGCGTGCCCAGCCAGAGCAGGCTGGGGAGCTGCAGCTGCAGGTTGGCAGCTGAGAGGAGGGCTCAGGGCTATGAGGGGGAAGGCGGCAGGGGGCCAAGGCCTGGGGTGATGGGCTGCAGCCCGTGTGTGTCTGCGAGGCTTGTTGGGCAACCTGCCAGTCAGTACCCTGGAAGGGAGCAAGGCAGGGGAGGAGCTGGAGCTACCCAGCAGGGGTGGGTGGGACCTTTGGGTTCAAGCTCCACTGGGCTTGGCAGGAGGCCCCTCCCCCACAGCCAGCAAACAAAGCAGTGACTCCCAGAGTAGAACCGAGCTGGAGAGCCAGGTTCCCCTGGGTGGGAATCACAGCCGGCAGGCCTGGCTAGGGGCCGCCTGGCAGAGGACATTGGTGCCCAAGGACAAAGCCTGCCCTGCCCGTACCTGGGCAGAGGCTGTACCTCTGGATGATTAATGGGTATTGATAACTTGGGAGGCTGAATGTGGCCCGGAAGAGAGCTGCCCTGCTAGCACTTGCCCTGTGTCTGTCCCCTGCCTTGCTCTTTGTGCTGAGCAGGGAAGAGGCACAGGCTTATGTGTTCATTCACTTTATAGTTTTGTGCCATGCTTCCCTTTATTTGCCCTCCTCCCTTCTTTCCCCCAATTTTTAAAAATTTCAGGACCAGCAGATAGCATAATGGCTATGTCACCAAACTCCCATGTAGTCAGTCACGGTTCCAACCCCAGACCCGGCGGCTTAAAAAACTTATGCCGGGTGCATGTGCATGCATGCCCAAAATCCCAAGAAGAGAATGAAGGAGAAGGGATTGCAGCATGGCCATCTGCCCCGGGGAGTGATTTCCCACTTTCTGTCTCTGTCTTTCCTGCAAGTGCATGCACCCTATAGCGAAAAATCTCTTTAAAAAAAAAGTTCTTCCAAAAGTGAAAAAGAGATAGATAGGAGCACAGCAGCTAGATAGCCTACGAAACACTAGGGCAGACCACCCTCACTGCCCGGTGGCGGAGATGGAAGCTCTCAACAAATATTAACTGAGCACCTGGCTGTGCCTCAGGTACTGTTCTAAGTGACAGCAGAAGACTGTCTGCTATTCCAGTGGTAAGCAGAAGATAGAGGAACGACATGCACTGGCTAGTACCTTGATTTTGACCATCCCCACAGGGCCATGATGCTGTGATCCATCCCCATCCTTAGCCAGCTCTGAATCACAGGGATGGATATACCTCAGGGAGGCCTCTGGATGTGAACCTGGAACCTTCCCATGTGGGTCAGCCTGGCAGAGCATGGCATTTTGCTGTTGTGCCACCATGCAGCACTGTCTTCCTTATTTCTCTTCATCCTTGCTTCTCTTCCTATCGTTTCTGTTCATCTTTTTCCCCCACCACCTTTTCCTATAGGTAAGTTTTGTTTATTCCTTTTGGCTTTCTTTCTCCCCAACAACAACGGATATATGGTATTTATTTATATGCAGCAAAATGCACAGATCTTAAATGTATGGCTTGGTACTATTTTTTTAAGGATTATTTTATTTAGCTTTATTTATTTATTTTTAATTTAACCAGAGAGCGACAGAGTGAGAGAGAGAGGGAAAGTGAGAATGCAAGCCTCCAGGTCCAGGACTCGAACCACAGTTGGCCATGTGGGAGTCCAGCACTCTTAACCACCATGCCACCTACTGGCCCTGGCTTGGACAATTTTAACATTTGTATAAACTAACATCCAGATCAAGATACAGAATGTTTCCGTCATTACCAATTTCCTACAAGGCACGTGCTCACTAGTCTGACGTCTTTCACCTTAGAGAAGTGTCCTTCAGGCCTCTTTCCCATGTGTTCCTGTGCACATTTGACCTCTCCTTCTTGCATTCTTCAAATGTGCATGCATACGCCTGCGAGCATGAGGGAGACAGCAAAGCTGAGGGAGCAGTGGTGGATGGCGAGGAAGGTGAGGGCATGCGAGTGCAGCCGGAAAGTGAGGGCCAGTCCCCATGGAGCATGAAGGAGACAGCAAAGCTGAGGGAGCAGTGGTGGATGGTGAGGAAGGGGAGGGCATGCGAGTGCAGCCAGAAAGTGAGGCCAGTCCCCACGGTGACCTCCTCCTGCTGGGGACACAGAGGAAGAACTGCTTTTCTCTCTTCTTTAAAAGAATTATTTTATTTAAATTTCCTTCCTTCCTTCCTTCCTTCCTTCCTTTCATTTGACAAGAGAGGGACAGAGCGAGATAGAGAGAGAAGGAAAGTGAAAAAGCAAGCTGCCAGGTCCTGGATTTAAACTGTGGTCAGCCATGTTAGGGTGGTTAAGGGGTCATGCGCCCTTAACCACCACACCACCTGCTGGCCTCAGGGCTGTTTTTCCCTTTATCTCATGTTTGGTGCTCCCTTTTCAGGCGGCTCTCTGAGCTCATTATAAACATCGACCAGGGCCCGAGAAACATTCGCCTAAATCCAAGAGTGCCAAAGGGACCCGGAGGCACACTGTTGGCTTAGGAACCACTCTTTAGCCCACAGGAAGTCAGCTCAAGTGAGATTTTTCTGTCAATCATCCTCCTTTTTTTTTTTTTTTTTTTTTTTTTTTTGGGGTGTGTTCACACTCTCCCTGTTTTTTTTTTTTTTTTTTTTTTTTCTATTTTGGGGAGAACATATGAGTACCCTGATAAAAGGGAGTAGAGGCCGCAGAAGCTGAGGCTGCCAGGCTGGGGGCACGAACTGATGGTTCTTCTCCAGACCAACTGTTATGACCCTTGTATCATCAGCCCTGTGGACCAGAATGCCATGCTAGGCATTGTGGGTGTGGAGGACGGAAGACCTGCCACTGCCCTCAGGGAACTTGCTGCCCACTTTTGAAGCTTTGAGCAGCCATGAGCAGGACGTAATTAACCATCAAGGGAGGCTGCATCAGCCCCTGTGTCCTGTCCTTGGGGACAAGCACAGTAGTCAGCCCACGTGTTGCCAAGACACTAGGACAAACCAGCCTTGCTGCCACTGTAGGGGCTCCGATGTGAGATTCAAGCACTCAACAGATAGCGAGCACATGGCCACCATCAAGTACTGTTCTAGGTGAATGAGAAGGGTAAGCAAAAAGATAGAGAAAGGAAATGCTCTAGCTAGTACCTTGAATTTTGACCAGATTTCTTGCAATATTTTTTCTAAATATTTTTATGGACAGTAGGGGGAAATGTGGGCTGAACGGTAGAGTTAAGAACATACTTAGTGGGACCAGCAGGTGGCGTGTTGGTTGAGGCACTGGACATTCCTACATGGCCGACCAGTGTTAGAGTCCCAGCCCTGGTGACTTGCTTTCTCACTTTCTCTCTCTCTCTCTCTATATATATATCTCTGGTCAAATTGAAATAAATGAGAATGAATAAAATTAAATAAATCTTAAAAAAAAAAAAGAACATACTTAGCTAGTTGCTCAACCTACAAAAGATATGGATCAGTTCTAACCCTGGTGGTGTCTCTGGTGGCATGTCATCGGGCTCTGATTTTGATTCTGTCTCACTAATTTTTATTCTCAAGTGGAGAGCTCAAAATACCCATAACTCTTCCCTGTATTGACCGGTTCAAATTTTGTCATAGTCATGTACACACTTTCTAGCGCATACACACACACACACACACACACACACACACACACACATTGATTTTTGCTGAATCATTTCAAAGTAACTTGCAGACATCATGACACTTCACCTGTAAAAGCTTCAGCATGCATCTCAAAGAAACAAAAGTTTTATCAATCTAAGAAATTCCATTATCATACCTAAGGAAATGAATCATTATCAATACCTTCATCTTATCTAAGAAAATGAACAGTAATGCCTTATGTTACCTAAGACCTAATCTCTATTAAAAATTCTCTGGGGTCCAGCAGGTAGTGTGGTGGTTAATGTGGTTGGACTCACACATGGCCAACCATGGTTCAAGTCCTAGACCTGGTGGCTTGAAAAGCACACTGGGCGCGTGTGCATGCATGCCCCAAATCCCAGGAGGGAAAAGGAGGAGAAGGGATTGCGGCGTGGCCATCCCCCTTGGGGAGTGATTTCTCACTTTCCCTCTTACTGTCTCTCTGTCTCTCTCTGGTGACCACATGCACCCTTGGCAAAAACCTAAAGAAATGAAAATAGCCTGATTGCTTCATGGCTTCATTTCCTTGAAATTCAATCAAGGTTCATTTGATTATTGCATCTTTTTAGTCTCTTATCTTAAGCAGCGCTCCTGTCTTCCCCTACCTTTCACCAGACTGACCTTTCCAAACAGTCTAGCCTAGCTGTCTTGTAGAATGCTCTTCATGCTGGATGGGTCTGACTGTGTCCTCGTTATTAGATCTGGGTTAGATACTTGGGCAAGAATGCCAGAAGAATTGATGCCATGTGCTTCTTATTGCATTATATGAGGATGTAAATTATGTCAAGTAGTGTCATCACGGAGATGTTCTTTTTGACTACTTGGTTAAGATAGTGGCCACCGGGGCCGGCAGGTGGAGTGGTGGCTAAGGGTGCTGGACTCCCACATGACCAACTGTGGTTCGAGTCCTGGACCTGGAGGCTTACTTTCTCACTTTCCCTTTCTCTCTCTCTAGAAATATTAAAATAATAATGAATAAAATAAAATAATTCTTTAAAAAAAGAAAAAAAGGATAGTGGCCACCAGTCATTCCCTTCCAGAGACATCTTCCCTTTGGTACTTTGCAGGTCACCTGTGGGACAGACTTTGAGACCTAGGAAACCATATATGGAGAGAAACTTCCACCTAATGATTTGAGATCCATTGATGATCACTGCTTGAATTTTGGTATGCTAATTCTAGCATTTCTTTTAAAAATTTTGTTTTGGGGGCCAGTAGGTGGCATAGCAGTCACATCATTGGTCACCCACATGGCTGACTGTGGTTCAAGTCCTGGACCTGGCAACTTGAAACTTACTCCAGGAGCACATATGTGTGCCCAAAATCCCACAAGGAGAATGGAGAAGGGATTGCAGCATGTCTATCCCCACTGGGGGATGATTTCTCGCTTTCTGTTTCTCTGCCTCTATCTCTGTCTCCCTGGTGAGCACGTGAGCCAATAGCAAAAATCTTTTAAAAAAGAGAAAAATTCTGTGTTTTTTTTAAACATTTTTTTTGAGAGTTTTTTGCTATAGGGCGCATGCACTCGCCAGAAAGACAGAGACAGACAGAGAGACAGAAAGCGAGAAATCACTCCCCAGGGGGGATGGCCACGCTGCAATCCCTTCTCCTCCATTCTCCTCTCGGGATCTTGGGCACGCACGCACACGTGCCCGGCGTGAGTTTTAAGTCACTGGGTCTGGGACACGAACCACGGTCGACTACATGGGAGTCCAGGGACATAGCCATTATGCTAACTGCTGGTCCCAAGAATTACTTTATATAATGTTTATTTCTTTATTTTAATTTTTTAAAGAATTATTTATTTAATTTTATTTATTCATTCATTTATTTTAATTTGACCAGATAGAGACAGAGAGAGTGAGAAAGTGAGAAAGCAAGCCACCAGGTCCAGGACTCGAACCATGGTTGGCCACATGGGAGTGTCTAGCACCTTAGCCATCACGCCACCTGCAGGTCCCTCTTTATTTTGACCAGAAAGGGACAGAGTAAGAGGGAGAGGGAAAGGACTCGAACCATGATTGACCATGTAGGAGTCCAGCACCCTTAACCGGCCATGCCACCTGCCGGCCCCAAAATTCTATTAAAAATTATTTAACTTTATTTATTTATTTCATTTTAATTTTTTGACCAGAGAGGGTCAGAACGAGAGAGAGAGGGAAAGTGAGAAAACAAGCTGCCAGGTCTGGGACTTGAACAACGGTTGGCCAAGTGGGAGTCCAGCATCCTCAACCACACCACCTGCTGACCCCCAAAATTCTGTTTTTAATTTGCCAGAAGGCACATGTATTTGCCAGAGACAGAGAGGAGAAATGAGAAAGCGCCCCCCACAGAAAACAGTTATGCCACAATACCTTCTTTCTGTTTCTGCCGCCTTTCAGGATTTTGAACCCTCATGCACACATGCCCAGCATATTTCTCAAGCCACCAGCGATAGGGCTTCAACTCTGGTTGGCCAGGTGGGATCTATTTGGATGTTGGGAAATTCATGACATATTTTTGCACAGAACAACAATCTGATAGCTCCCTTAATCCCTGGGTTACGGGGTTGACCCCAGCCGGTTCTACTGAGGGCCTGCTTACCATGTGCCAGCGCTGCTCTAGAGGCTTGTGATACGTGAGTTAATTTTCCAGGCTCAAATCCCTGCCCTCCTGAGTCAATCATCTCTGGGGTAGAGGGTATGGTGGAGGGGTGGATTCAGACAATATAGAAAAACCACAATAAATAAGCAAATCATATAATATTTTAGAAAGTGATGAATGCTTTAGGGAAAAAAAAGAAAAAAATATCTTGGATAAAAAGAAAGGGAATGTCTGGAGGAAGTTCAGATTCTTCAAGGTTATGTTTGAACATAGCTGGAGGAAGCAAGGACTTACACTGCCCTCTGGGGGGGTGAGCATTCAGGCCTAGGGAAAAATGTGGTCAGGTTTCCTGAGACAGGAGGACGCTCCGGGCATGGGTTTAAGCCACTGGGTCCAGTACTCGAACCGTGGTCAATTACGTGGGAGTCCAGCGACATAGCCATTACGCTAACTGCTGGTCCCCCCCCTCCCTTTTTTTCTTCTTTTTTTT